TCATGTTCTTAACACAGTATAACTACTTGATGCTATTTTTGTTACTGAGTAAATATCGGGTGTAGCTGGCTCTTCTGGCCAAGGCTGTAGTTACACATGATGGCACATATAAGGGAGGAGGGGGGGCGGGGAGCAAAGGGGGTGGGGAGCAGGTCAGGCAGGGAGAAAGGAGGGCGGGGAGTAAGGTGGGTGGAGAGCCAAGAGGACAGAGAGTTGGGTGGCGAAGAGCAAGGGAGGCAGGGAGCAAGGCAGGCAGGGAAGGAGAGCAGGAGGGAAAAAAGGCAGGGAGTAGGGTGGGTGGGGAGGAAGGATGTTGGGGAGCAGGGTGGGAGTGGAGGTGAGTGGGTCCCCGGCTGAGCTCCCTACTCACATCCATGTAATTGTAAAGCTTCTCACTGGTCCAGCCCAGCTTCAGCGTGCGCAGGCTTGTGGGGGGGAAGCACTGGGAGAACCTCCTGGAGAAGATATCAGGCTGATGGTCCTTCATGAAGGCCTCCAGGCGACGGGCAGACCGCAGCTCAGCCCTTATCGTGGAGATGCGGTGCAGGGGAACTCTGGGAAAAAGGGAGAGGGAAATCAGCGCCTCCTACTGGTATAAGCTTTGGTTGCAAGGGTATTCAGATTTCTATTTGGCATGACCCGGTTACCTGAATAGTAACACTAAAATCTTGATCAGTCACAGTTTTGCGGACTTGATCCTACATCTACAAATGCTGAATTGTCAATTCATAACAAGAGGTCATTCATCAAACATTTGGATTGTTTAAGTATTTTATAAGAGCAAAAAAGCAACTGACCAGCGCGACAGAAGCCTCACAACAATCCTGAAATGCAGAGGGTTAGGGTTAGGTTTAGGGTTAGGTCTTGTCTCACCTGATGAGTGCCTGTACCGCCAGAGCGTAGCTCAGCAGCAGAAGGGAGAGCCGTGCCATGCTGGGTCCTGCAGGTCCGTGTCCCTCTCTGAGGATGAGTCCGCCTGAGCGGCTCCCTGTCGCGTCGGAAGGCAGGGTCTGGGTCCGCTCCAGGTCAGGGCGACCCTGTGACCGCCGCGTCTGTGGAACAGGCCTGCAGGTGTTAACCCTTCTGCACAAACCACAGCTGGAGTGCACTGGTACTCCAGTACCCTTTCTGCAAGAACCTTAAATACAGGAATACACATACACAACATTAAAATAGCATTTTAACGACTTTTATTGACTGAAACTGAGCCCTGATAACATCTCTCAGCCACGCAGTTCAACATTTGCCTGGATTATTCAAATGCTTTATTTGGATTGGAAATGTCTATATACATATGTGAACATAAATGTGCTTCCTGGATGTTATTATTTAATTTCTAAATGCTGTCTTCTCAGTATCCTGAAATCACAAAGCATTTGCAGGTGACAGAGTGTCATTATATGTCCAGGTCACGGTGAGCTGCAACCACAGGGTCTTTAGTTAAAGATTAAAAATGATATCTCTTATTCTTCATCTTGTGATTCATTTACAAAGGCTACAGTTTCTCTTTTCTGACTTATAATCTACAAAACCTGATAATGCTCATAATAATTAGGTGATTATTATTTCTATACTCCGGATTCCCCTCAGTCCAAAAACATGCTGAATTCATTGGAGTTGCCAAATTGCCCATAGATGTGCATGTGTGAGTGCATGGTGTGTGAGTGTGCCCAGCGATGGGTTGGCACCCCATCCTGGGTTATTCCCCGCCGTGCGCCCCTAGCCTCTGGCCCCCAGGACCCTGAACAGGATAAGCAGTCTCAGAAAATGACTGGCTGGTTCTTTCCCGGTGAGGATGTACCGTCTCCTGAGATTGAATGCCTTTAAGATGAAGGTGTGGCTCACTTACCCTAACATTTCTCAAAGCTGTTATATGATTTTTTTTTTTACTGGATTTATTCATTTATTTACCCATTTATTATTTAATTACAGTAACAGAATAACAGAAAAATATCATTTTGATAATAGTTTTTGTTAAAAATGATAATTTGATAATGGTTTAAAGGTAGTTTGCTGGTTAAGTGGGTAGGACTGATAGCTGACATCCCCTGGGGTAGGGGATGGGTTCTGGTCTCTTCCCTGTGTGTCTGACATCCCCTGGGGTAGGGGATGGGTTCTGGTCTCTTCCCTGTGTGTCTGACATCCCCTGGGGTAGGAGATGGGTTC